TATGAATCTTTTGACATTAGTTAAGTGTTTCCATTATAGTATTTTAGGTATATTCAGTTAAACAAAATATATTGTTAAAATTAATTTTACCTGCTTCTTTTTACCTTTTTTTAAAATGTAGTTATTTTGAATTTTAAATTATATATAAGCTTCCCCTTACAGTTCTATTGGGCAGTCTACAAGTTCCCAGAAGGATATGTCCTTCTATTTCTTTCCACCTGAACTCTATAAGGACTTCAGATGAACCGAGTCAGGCTATCAATGAGGACTGCTGTTCCTACTGAGGCCCTGAAGTGACAGTGGGAAGCCCCAGGATCCCTGGGCAGCAGATTGCTTTTTAGAAGTGCCAGGGAGTAACCATTTGATAAGCAGTACTTCAGAATCCAGCAGCCGGGGACAGAAATAAATGAGGTCTCAGGGAACAGGACTATCCATGACATCCAACCTTTAACTTTCATTCTGGAATGGATCACAAAAACTAATAAATCAAACGCAGAGCATAATGTTCATAACATTATATGTCCCACTCACAGTGAATCACTGCTTTAGTACAAATCACTACTTTGAGTTTGTAGAGTTAACATTTTTAATCACAGAAATCCCACAAGGTCTCATTTTCTTAGAATAAATTTTGACTGAGTCCAGTCAGTTTTTTAGATGTAAATTCTAAAAAAGCTATGTTTTTTTTTTAAAATTCAAGTCTATTTCTACATCAGTGTTTACCTACTACTTAGGTATGTGAAAACAACAGGCAAGTAGTTTTCAAGTAAGGCTACAAATAAACTGTTACATACTTACATATCAAAAACAGTCAGGTAACATAAAGATCCTCACTTCTTTAATAGATTACACAAATAGAAAAAGACTAGACAAAAAAATCTGATAGTAATAGAATTATGCATAATTATCTCAATTTAGTCTGTCGATGAACTGTCAAGTAAGTGACCTAATGACTTCAATTACACAGTCCAAATATTTTTATACAACCTAAATACATTAATACTAAAAGAATTCTATTTATTTAAGTGGACAGGCTGTTAGAAAAAGATCCTATAATGGAACTTACTTTGATTTTTTTATAGAACACTTTATAACTTATAAATGCTTTAAAATGAATGCTAACAATTAATAGCAATGGTCATACTAACAAGCAAAGAAGATACAATATCCTTAAAGAATAATTAAGAATAATAAGGACTATGCATAAAGGACCTTAATTATAAATTAATAGTTTTTTTCACCCTTCCCTCATTTGTTCACACAGTAAATATTTTCTCAGCCAGGGTCAGGTACTGTGCTAGGAACTGGGGAGAAAATGGGGAGAAAACCATAGGTGGTAGCAGCCCTCATGAAACATTCAGTTTAGCAGGGCAGTTACACAATAACCAAATAATCTAGCCTCCCTGAAGAAGTAATACTCGAGCTGCAGGCAAAAGGATGAGAACAAATTACCCTGGTAAAAAGAGGAAAGAGGGTTTTCCAAGCAGGAGAACAGCAAAGGCTATGACCCTCTGGCAGGAGGGAGCACGGCCCTTGCACAGTACCTATAGAACATTAGTGACTGGAACCCTGAGGACAAGGGACAGCATGGTGCAGGTGAGGCCTGAGCAACTGAGGCTGGAACCCACTCCTGCAGGACTTCTGGGCCAGGTTATCTTAAGGGCAATAGGAAGTCACAGAAAAGGTCACTCAGGCTGCAGCACCAACAGCAGTCAGGGAGACTGGGCCAGACCAGAGCAGACCTAGACTGTGGATGTAGTTCAGGTAAGTGATGGATTTAGGCCTTGGACTGGAGCACAGGGATAGAGTTTCAGAGAGGTGAGTGGGTTTCAAGCTGTTTGAAGGGGAAATCTACAGGCCTTGGTAATGGATTAGATATGGAGGTGGGTGGGAAGGAGGTCACCAGGAGGATGCCTACATTTCTGGCTTATACAACATGATATTCCCAGAAGCAGGCACCAGTGGAAGAGAATCAGAATTCCAAAAGAGGAAGATGATGAATTTGGTTTGGGATATGTTAAGTTTGTGTTGCCTCCAAGACACCCAACTGCAAAAGTATGTAGTTTGATTCATGGATCTGGAGCTCAGAAAGAAATCTTGGCTAGAGGTGTAAATCTGTGACTCTTCTGCATAGAGGGGGTAACAGAAGCACCACTGTGTCCCAAGAACACAGTTGAGAGACAGCCAACAGTCAAAGGTTGCTGAGGAGATAAGAAGAATGGGGTTCGAAGCACAGAAGCAGGGCTGCGCTTAACTGTGGGGAAAAAACTGACCCCTGAGTAGCAGGGAATAAGTGGACCAGAAATACATAATAAACTGAGCATTTTTTGGCTTGTTGGATCTCTACTAGAAAACATAGGCATGGAAATATGGAGTGTCGAGTTCATCTAAATTGGGGTGTTCTCAGGCAAATACATCAAAAATACAGGGAACAAGAGAAATTAAGGATTCAGCAAGACTGACAGAATATAAACTGGTTAAGAAGGGAAGTGAGGGAAAGAAAGGGTTGATAGGTTGGTAGAAAGTAGCAAGGCCAGTAGATGGGACATTGTAATGGGGTCAAAGTACAGCCACAGTGAGGGTAGGTAAATTGACAAGCTAGAAGGAGAGGAGGCCGTGGTTAGAATAAAGTGGCTGATGTAGTGATTTCAGAAATTGAGCAGTTACTGGGGATGACAGGGTCCAAAGTGGGCCACTGGAGTGGGTGGCCGAGTGCAGGGAGAAGGTCTTTGAAGAAAAGCAGGTTGAGGGTCCAAGGGCCACAAAGCTGGACAGATCCTCCATGCTGCCACTGAGGGCCACGGGAGGTTCTAAAGGGTTTGTGTGGGAGGAAGACTGCAAGCCAGGTGCCAAAGTGCTCAGTGAATGACAGGAAATGACCCTGGCCACAGTTAGAAAGAGGACAGAGATGAAGAGCCATATTCAGAACAGCATGTCTTTGCTGGCTTTCTCGAATAACCAGTTTGAGAAGTAATGACCTAGAAGCAAAACTATGTCCCAGGGTGACAACTATCTTTCTACCCCTGCCTGAAACATGAGATGTGAGGAAATAATAAAGCCACCACTTGAGAGGGCTTCAGGAGAAGTGGTCCTCAGGGGAGGACAGGTCTCAGCGAAGGCAAAGGTGGGCAGAGCTTTTCAGGATGAGGGAGATGATGCAGGAGAGCACATGGTCATGCCATGACTGTTCCATGTGGCACAGAGGAAGCATCCAGGAGGTGGAGAAGGAAGGGCTCTAGATCAAAGCAAAGAAGGAGAGACCATTATAGAGATGAGAACACTGTGGAGGACAGGTGACAATGGGATGGGAGCTGATTAATTAAAAACAAGGATGGCAGACTTAAAGTAAAAAATCATTTTGAGAATGCATACTGATCCCAGTAGCCAGAAATAACTCACTTGGCTGGGGTGTGGCAGACCTGTGTCTCTATGTGCTGCATCACTGGCTGGATGCTAGATCTAGAGCAGGGTTTCTAAGCCTCAGTACTGTTGACATTCTGGGCTAGATGGTTTTTGCTGTGGGAGGCTGTCCTATCTATTGTAAAATGTTTATAGGATTCCTGGACTTTACCCAGTGGATGCCAATTGTACCTCTACTCCCAGTAACAGCCAGAATATTGCCAGACATTGCACAATGTACTCTGGTGGCAGAATCACCCTCCACTGAGAATCTCTGATCAAGAGCAACAGACTCACATGAGAGTGCAGAGACATTACACCTGCTATAGTAATGCCACCATCTCTGAACACGTTTTTGGAACTAGTCATCTCTAATAGCTTCGGAGTCATCGAAGAAAGCTAGTCTCATTATTTGATAGACATGCCCAATGCCTAACGTAAAAAAAATGTATTCCCCAGGCTTATCACCTCTCTTATTCTTTGCTCTGAAGGTCATCTGACTGTTTCCTCAGAGGATGACGGAGATTCGCCTCCAGTGAGAATACTCAAATGAATGCCATGCTCTTTCTCATTGGCTGCCTCTCAGTTTTTGGAATGTGCCAAGCTCCCTCCTGCCTCAGGGCATTCCCTGGGTCACCCCATCCTTCAGATCTCAGGTTATAGAGCACTTCTGCAGGAAGGCATTTCCTTACTGTATATCCTCTACTTTTCCTTCAGAGCACTTTTCATAATCATATTTGCATTGCTACTTTCTGTTTCCTCTATAGAACACACATTTTATGAGGACAAAAACCTTATCTGTTTTGTTCGTAGCTGGATTCTCTGCACCAAGCAGAATGCTTGCCCAATAAATATATGTTAAATAAATTAATTATTAAAAGAAAATGGTAATAGCATTTTGACAATAAGCATTGCACTCCCCAAAGTGACTGCTTTATAGGGGAAAATATGCATATATATGTATAGTTTTCTGATTCTTTTTAAAAAATCATATACATTTATAGTAGTACACCTTTTAGTCAAGGGAGGTTAGCATCCTAAATAACAAAAAGATAGAAAGTAGTATCATTCAAAGAATCAGGAAACATATCTAGGTTTGACCAATTACTAGGTCACAGTAGTCAGTCCTTGTGCCACCATACTAAATTAAGAAAAGCTCTGGCTGGTTTGTATATTCCTTCAAATATGCGTTGAGCCCTTGTTCAGTGCTCATTCTTGGAACGTGCAGTGTGACTATTTCAGGGCTCACTATACAAAGCAAGGACATATCCTACAGGGTGTACCTGAGGCAGCGTTCAGATGGCATTCTCCAAGTAGTTTCCTCAGGGTCTCAGTCTTAGAAGTTTGCAGAGGAATCAGCAAGCATTCCAGCTGAATAAAAAGACAAGAAGAAACAGCATACTGAGCTAAGTGCAGAAAAGCACATTCTGGGTCTTCATAAGGCTAAGAGCTTTAGAATCCCAAGGAGATATACATATGTGTGTGTATAGATGTGTGTGTGTATATATAAATATACACATATTATATACACCTAGAATCCCTTGGAAAGTTTTATTGTTGATATATAACCTTCTGACACAGTGCTCTTTTAACAAGCAATAGTCTTGAAAGCTTTTAAGTTTTTAAATTTTTTTCACATTATTGGAGCTTTAGAGACTGGGAAGTAAGATATGTTTGAGAATCAATAATAGCTAATAAAAGGTTTAAGTAAAAATGAAAACAACAGATGACCAAAGGGAAAAATTAAGATTTTATAAAGCTACAATGGTCTAAACTATAAATATTAGTTGACTTGTCCCTTACAGAGATTTTACTTTCCTTCCAAACATGATTAGTTAAATTAAGTCAAAATCAAGTATCTCTTGGCTAATTGTCTATAGAAATTTGATTTTCTATTCCAGGAGCCAATTTCTGAAAACTAGATGGGAAAAAATAACATATAGAGAGGATGAAAATTAGTAGAAAGTGAAAAATGGATTCTTATGGAAGCTTCAGGATTAGCATAATTGAAATATCTAATAGGATGCAGTTGTCAGGCTTGAAATCGCTCCTTGGCTATACAGCATATTTACCCACTTAGTCCCCACCCCCAACCCCGCCTGTGTTTTTAATCATTGATGTTAACTCTAAACAGAAAAATAAATTATTTGAAGAGTTTGGGACCTTGTCCATGAGTATCCTTTACAACGCTTATTAGAGGATCTGGCTCCCATTTTCCAATACACCCAAGTGGCAAAATTAATTACAATCTGGATAAGCTAAACAGGCTTCCTTCTGTCTCAATTTTATTTTGATACAGAGTGAAAATGCCTATGAAAGACATATGTTAAGCTATGATTTGCAATCTGACTAAAATATAGTAGTTGTTATATTGTATAAAAACCCTCAATTGGTACGACTGTATAATACTTCATATAGTGTATCATAATTTGTTAAGTATTCCATTGTTATCGGATATTAAATTGTTTAGAATATTTTTCATACAATATATTTTTATTTCTTGTTTTGTTTTTTAAATTACCGAACATATGATGTCTATACTTTCATTTATTCCTAATTTAAGTTTTGACAAACCTAAAAGTAAGTGGCATTTTTAATTGATCTGTTATGACCAGGCAGCATTGGCAGTCAGAATAATTCAAGGTGCATTGTTTAATTGGCTAAGAGACTTGCTTAGCAACCTTATCATTGCTATGGTTTCCTTTCAGAATCTGAGTTATAAACTCTAGGCTCTTATAGCCTAACACAAACACTAACAGACATGGACACTTGCACTTTAAAATTGCAAAGAATTTTTACTATTCCAGGGAGGTGAAAAACCTTAATGTCTTAGAAAGTCAAATATTTTCAAAACACTCCCAACAATCAGGCAAATGGAGAACAAGATCCTAAAAATTAAAATAATCCAAAATTAAAGGACACAGCTAATTTGATATTTATCAGACATTTCAAACATGATCACTAAAAATTATAAGATACATTAAATCCCCTTCAACAGACACTTATTGTGTGGAGACCACCTCACTTTTCTGAAATTATTTAATTATAATCTATCTGTACATTCTACAAAGTTTAGTGAAGGATGCCATTTTAAAGGACAAATCACCACTGAAAAAGGCTTATTATTATTTACTATTTACTACATGTTATCTACTATATGTATAATTAAAATTATGTATATGTAATTTAAATTGAAATCTGTAGGCAAATTCATGTGTTTTTATTAAAACTTTCCCTTACAGTAAGTACAGTGCACAGCATGGCTACTTGTAAGCTCCAGCAGACAGAAATTTTTCCTTCCTCCCACCTCCTTGCATGTTTTCCTGTACCTGGAATATGGATTCCTTCTTAACCCAATGCTCTCAATTCTTCCCTTGAACCCAGGGAGATTCAGTCCAGTCCCCTGCCTTTCCCCTGCTCAGAATCTAGAAATGGATTTGGAGCTGGACCAACCTTGGTGGAGCAGTAGGAAGCAGAGATATGAAGAAAGGCCAAAGTTGCTCTCCAGGCATCCAGCTCTTAGTGCTGCTCACACACCATCGGAGACACAACCACATTTAACCCAAACCCTAAGGGGAGTGTTATGTGGAATTAGAAGTACATGAGGTGGCTCTTTTTTTGTGAATTGAGAGTGATCACCCTCAAGGCCTCTTTTAACTATGACCATCTATAACTCTCTGAGCCCATTGGCATGACAGAGATTCTTTCCTTGACCAAACTCTAGTCAGGCTCCTCTGGGCTCTCTTTTCAAGCAGATCCTGTCCTTGGGAATGCCCTCAAGAGCTTTATGGTCAACCACTGAATAAATAAAAATATTACTTTAGTGAACAGAGAATTTATTAATTTCACTAAATATCAGTTAAAGACAAGAAACAAACATAAAAATAGTTGAGAATATATATGTTAAAATTTTAAGTATCTTTCCATCAGCTTCTTAGCTCAGCTAGATGAACTTTGAAAGGAAGGAAAGAATTTTCCTTTGCAGCATAACAACTATAAAAGAACAAGGCAGAGAAGGGTACTAGAATATGCCACCCTAAAATATGCCTCTGCCTCATAAGCACATGGATTATTTTAAGCTTAAAGCCATTGAGAACCAGATGATGCAGGAAAAACTCTAAAAACAGGGCATGAGTTTTCCTTTTGTAAAAAAAAATTTATATTTATAAAGGAAATTTCCATTTGTGAAAGGTCTCTTCTCTCTTGTACCAGGAAGAGGAAAACTCAATTGAATCCTCTATCAATGGAGAAAACATCAACTTAAATCTGCTAACAAACCTTGCTAAGCAAATCTTCATCATCATCCTTTTCCTGGTCACCTTCCCATAACTTGCCTCCTCCATCCAGAAGCCCCAAACCCCTTTTCCTTTGTTGAGCCTAACATGGTATACAAGGCCAAGTTCTTTTTTTTTTTTTTTGTCTTTTCCGTGACCGGTAAGGGGATCGCAACCCTTGGTGTGGTGTCGCCCGCACCACACTCAGCCAGTGAGCACACCGGCCATTCCTATATAGGATCCAAACCCACGGCGGAAGCATCACTGCGCACTCCCAGCGCCTCACTCTCCGGAGTGCGCCACGGGGTCATACAAGGCCAAGTTCTAATTACACCTTTAGGTTATCATCACTGGGGGCTACCATGAGTATGTGTGATGCATATATTAATAAACTTCTGCTTTCTTTTTTCTTGTTAATCTGTCTTTGCCAGTATAATTTACAGGGTCCCAGCTGGAGAACCTAAGATGGATAGAGAAAAAAATGAGTTTTTCCCCTCCCCTGCAGCAGGTATAGTGCTTTCCATTTAACAGAGTAAAGTTGGGCTGTAGTACTTCCCAAAGCATGTAATGGCCCACAAAAGACTAGTAACACACATTTCAGTCTTCATGGTTAAAAATACAAACAAATAAATCTAGCTTGCAAACAAAAATAAAACAAATATTTTTTAAAATGGAGCCATGTACCCATATTAATTTGCTGTCATACTAGCTGGTCTATGCTGGGCTACTTACTTGCTTTCATGAGCCTCCATTTCTTTATTTCTAAAAATACAGATAATACCACCTTGTCACAAGGCTGTATAATGTATGTAATGTAATTAGCTCAAGGACTGATACATCACAGGGTGTCAATAAACATCAATGTGTGTCCCTTTTTATTATACATACAAATAGGAGTCACATAGTGATTTGCTTAGAGGACAGGTGTGCAGGTAAATTTTCTCTTTTGTTTCACTTTTTGCTAATGGAGTTCTAATGTCAAGTACTAATCTTCTAATACCAGAAATGTGTTTAGCAGCAATCCTTCCAAGACTGTTCAAAACCACTCTATAGCTGGTAATAACTCAGATCCCCCAGGCCAAGCCCTCCAGAGGAAGGTGTGCATTTACCACCAGGCAACACCACAAACACTTCTCAAAACTCTAGCAATTCTCTCACACAATCAAAATCATTCAGTGCCCTTGTCCTTAGGAAGTGGAATCCCCCCTGGGGATTATAATATAATATATTATAATACATTATAAGTGGAAATATAATCTGGTTGGTACATAGGATTGATGGGGTTTAACTTTTATAGTTTTTATCTTCATTAAAACGTGTCAGGTTTGCCAGAGTCTCACTTAGATTTTTAAATATATTATATTACAATATGATATATTACAAGTGGAAATATAACGGGAGCAACACCGAGGGTTGCAATCCCGTTGCCGGTCCCCGGTCTGGTACGGGGGCAACACTGAGGGTTGCGATCCGTTGCCGGACACGGAAAAAGACAAAAGACAAAAAAAAAAAAAAAAAAATGTGTCAGGTTTGCCAGAGTCTCACTTACACTTTTTGAAGTCAGACTTAAAAATACAGTATTTTCAGAGGAAAAAGTAAATATCTTATTAAATCATAATATTATAAAGGGGAAAAGTAAGTGTCCTATAGGTCTTGATGACTTGCAAAAAAAGAAAAAGCAGACAGGTTAATCTAGATTAATGTGATCAACAAAAATAAGATACTAAAAATTAAGCTACCTTAATTATATGGCTGTATACCAATCCTACCAATATATAAGAAACTGTTTTTTTCTTGCTATTATCATATATTTGTTTACTAATGTTAATGTTACAGTCCTTCTAATAGTACCTGATGGTTTTTTACATATTATTTCTGATCTCAGCAATTTATAGTAATTAAAGGAAAATATCACCAGACATTAAGCAGGCAGAAGTAAAATGCAAGAGATATAAAGGTGGTATTCTGGGAAAAATCTAGGGATAAAAAATTATGAATTATAAATATAGGTCTTAACCAAGAAAAACTAGTTATATTGGATAATTCTACAATATACACAAGTGCTTGTTGACCCCAAGTCTATATCAAGCTAATACG